CTTATCTTGTTTTTTTGTGCTTGCAGTCATCCTGTCTCCTTGGGTCCTTTCCTGGTTCACCTTGGTCCTGTGCCTCATTCTTTGTGTCTTGCCCTCCAGCCACTTACCTGTCTTGCCCAATCTGCCTGGAAAACACATCTCTGGAACCATTTGGATTTACAACGGTGCCTCTCTGCCTCATCCAAACTGTAAGGAGAACAAACAAACAAATTCTTGCCAACGCCCTATCCACCTACCAAATCCACCTGAACTTCTCCTTCCTCCTCAGGGGTTCCAGATGACCAACTGTATATATTGTCCACTGAAAAAGAAATAAACACAATTCACTTTGTCTAAGCCCAAGTTTTGTGTCGTTCCGGGTCTCATATTATCTGGGTATCCGGAATCATAATATAGAGAGGTTTTGGTTAAACGTGTACAGTGCATTACAAAAATCCAGGCGAGACAAAACTAAAGCATGAATTAGCATTTCCAATTCTGGATGAAAAACAATGTGGCTAAGCTTGGCGATATTTCACAGGTGGTAGAAACAGGAACGAACCAGAGACTTTGAGTTTCCATGAGTAAAACCTGAGTCAAGGGTTATCCCAAGGTTTCTAACCGAGGATTTAACAAAATGACCAAAAGGCCCCAGGATTTGCTTTATCATTGCAGTTGGGTTTTTTTTTTTTTTCTTTTCTTTCTGGAGCAAAGAAGATTACTTCAGTTTTTTCTCTATTGAGCTGGAGAAAACTTTCAGTCATCCAGCTTTTAATCAAATTCAAACAGTTAAGTAAAATGTGTTTTGAAAGTTCATTTGGAAGAAAAATATACAACTGGATCTCATCAGCAAAACGATGATGGGAGATATCTTAATGGATGAAAGTGTCAGACCAAGAGGGAGCACATGGAGCAGAAACGGCAATGGCAGAAAAAACTGAGCCCTGTGGAATGCCAAAATGAACAGGACGGGAATGGGATACAAATCCACAGTCTACAAATCGCTGAACAGTTTTGCCCCCCCCCCGCCCCCCCCAAATCTGCTACAACTGTATGTCCCACCACGTTCCCTGAGGTCAGCGGACCAATTGCTCCTCACAGTTCCAGGAACTCGTCTTAAACGCAGAGGTGACAGTGCCTTCTCTGTAGCAGGACCAAGACTTTGGAACGAGTCTGCTTGTCAGACTGGCCCCCTCCCTCTCGGTCTTCAAATCCCATTTAAAAACTCACTATTCAGTAGCTTTCAACACCAGATCTGTGTTTTGAACCTGTACGCTCCACACTGGTTTGTCATCATATTCATCTACATCGTTTTATGTCTATATTTTTGATTTACTTCATTTTGTATATTGCTTCATGTGTTGTCTATTCTTCTGTCTGTACAGCACTTTGGTTGGCCTTGTAGCTGTTTTAAGTGCTCTATAAATAAAATGGTATGGTATGGTATCTGTACGTAGATGTAGCTGAGGTTGCTCTATCGGACTGGTAAGAGGACAACCATTTCAAAGCAGAACCTGAAATACCAGCCCAACTCCTAAGCCTATCCAACAAGGTCGGATTATCAACAGTGTCAAAAGCTGGTGTCAGGTCCAACATGAGCAGCACAGAACATTTACCTGTGTCACATAACAAAATATCATTTGAGACTCTAAAGAGCTGTTTCAGTTGAGTGGGATTTATGAAACCCTGACTGAAAGTGGTCCAGAATATGGTGGTGATCGAGCAGTGGTTAACTGCTTGACCACAACCTTCTCTAAAATATTTGCCAGAAAAGGAAGTTTTTGGTCTGTAACTGCTAAACAAAGAAGAATCCAAATTAACCTTTTTTAAGAGAGGGTGGATGACAGCACTCTTTAGACAAACAGGTACCTGTCCAGAAGCTAAAGAAGCATTTATTGTGTTCAATACACTGGGACCAATGCACTGAAAAACACTCTTAAACAAGCCTGCTGATAAAATGACCAGAGAGCAGGAGGAAGCCTTCATGGTGCTAACAAATTTGTTAGCACCATGATGTGCTCTCTATAGCCTGTACCAGTTAAAAATTGGGCTGCAGCATTTTGGACCAGTTGTAGACGAGCAATGGAGGACTGACTGATTCCAAACAGAAGTGAATTGCAGTAATCAAGCCTAGATGTTATGAAGGCGTGGATCACTGTCTCAAGGTTCTTTTTGGAGAGTATAGGCTTCAGCTTAGACAGCCGTCTCAGCTGAAAAAAACAGGATTTGACCATCATGTTTACGTGACTGTTGAGTTTTAAGGACGGGTCCATTATCACCCCCAGATTAGTGACCTTTTGTTTCTCTAGCGGGGCTAGAGAGAAAAGGTCAATGTCATGGTTCATGAGTGAGCCACTGGGATGGAACAGCATGACTTCAGACTTCTTCTCATTGAAGCTTAAGAAGTTTAAAGCCATCCAGTCCCGGATGTCAGCCAGGCAGTCAAGAAGAGGCTGAATAGAGCGTGTGCCTCTGTGCCTCAGGGGGAAGTAAATTTGGCAATCATCGGCATAGAAATGAAAGGGTATGTTGTGTTTGCGGAAGATAGCACCTAGTGGCAGCAGGTACAAAGAAAAGAGAAGGGGACCGAGGATGGACCCCTGTGGTACCCCCCACTGGAGCGCTGTCGATGCCGAACTAAAATCTTTGATATTGACACAGAAGGTTCTGTCAGAGAGGTAGGACACAAACCATTTAAGGGCTGACCCTGTGATGCCCACCCACTGCTCCAGTCTAGAAATGAGGATCTTGTGGTCGATGGTGTCAAAAGCAGATGTAAGGTCCAATAGGACAAGCAGCACAGAATCACCTGCGTCTGTGGATATGAAAATGTCATTAAAAATCTTCAGTAGAGCAGTTTCAGTGCTATGGAGAGATTTGAAGCCAGATTGGAATAACTCTAGGATAGTGTGATCCCCAAAAAACTGTTTCAACTGAGACTCCACAATTTTTTCCAGTAGTTTAGAGGTGAATGGGAGTCTGGAGACAGGCCGGAAGTTGGACATGACTGAGGGGTCAAGGTTAGGTTTTTTCAGGAGGGGCTGGACAGCAGCATGTTTAAAAGTCTTTGGCACCACACTTGAGGATAAACTGCTATTCAGAATAGCGAGAATAAAAGGACCCAGGGTAGGAAAAACTTCCTTTAGTAGTCTAGGGGGAACCACATCAAAGGGGGAACCAGATGGCTTCATGCTGCACATTACCTGCTCCAGAGAGGACAGAGAGATGGGCTCAAAGTGGTCAAACACAGCCACACACTGAGATGGGATGGACAGATCATGAGCTGGAGGAGAAATGATTGCCCGGGTGTTTGCCACTTTTTCTAAAAAGAAATGGAGGAAGTTTTCACACAGTTCAGTTGAGGCTTCCAGAGGTGAAGGCTCACTGAGGTGTAGAACTGAGTTCAGGGTGGAGAAAAGAACTCGGGGGTTGTGGGAGTTGGAGACAATTAAATCAGAGAAGAATTTACATTTGGCAGCTTTAACGGTTTTCTGATAGTGACGCCAACTCTCCCTTAACATTTGAAAAGAAACCTGCAGCCTGTCCTTCCTCCACCTTCGTTCAGCTCTGCGACACTGCTGCCTAACGGCTCGAGTGACGTCATTCAGCCAAGGCTCTGATTTAAGTTTCGTTTTTCTGGTTTTAAGGGGAGCAACACGGTCCAGAACATTTAAACAGGCAGAGTTGAACTGAGAGGTTAGCTCCTCAGTGGTAAGAGACACCGGGAACTGTTCGATCCTCTCAGAATTAAAACCTTCATTAAAACGAGCAGCAGTGAAATGGTTAAAGGAACGTGTACGTGCAGGAACGCACGTCTTAGCAGTATGACAAGGGGGGGTGAGGTCAAACAATACAGGCATGTGATCTGAAAAAACATTGTCACCGATTTTCAAATTAGAAACAGAGACATCGCGTGTTAAAATGAGGTCCAGCGTGTGACCGTGTTCTTGGGTGGGGCCGTTCACCTGCTGAGCTAAGCCAAAAGAGTCATCCCTCACCGCCGGTGTCCACCACCAGGTTTGAGGGTTACTGCTGCGACAGGCACCAAAAACCTTGTGGCCACAGTTCCAGTAAGCAGCCTCGACAATAGAGGCATGGAACATAAACCACTTGGATTCTATATCCCCCACCTCCCCCAGAACATGTTCGAAGTTCTCCCGGAGGTGGGAGTTAAAGCTCTGTTTCATGGAAGACTCTGCCAGACATTCCCAGCAGACCCTCACAATACATTTAGGCCTACCAGGTCTGACCGGCATCCTCCCCCACCATTGGAGCCAACTCACTGCCAGGTAGTGGTCAGTGGACAGCAATCAAATTAGAAAAATAAGTTGCCCTTGTTTCTTTATCTGCATTGTTAAAAATGGTTAAAAGATCCTTTAAAAACAGAAGATAGACCAGTAAATTGGTTTTCTTTCATAAATGTTTAATTTTTTTGCAAGAACGCTTTAAGCACTTCACCACTTGCTCTTGCCGAGGTCGGATGCTTTTCCCCTCCCCTCCTTCATTCAGAACTGTTTGGACCAACACAGACTCAAGGTAGATGTCATTAAGTTCTGCCTGTCCCCAAAACAAATGTGTGTTTGTACTTTGTACTCAGAAACAGCATGTCGGCCCTGACGTAGGCTTAGTAGGCATTTTAAGGCATTCAAAGCATTCAGAGGGCGATAAAAAAAATCCTGCAAAACTCCTTTAAAAATAGGGAACAGAGGAATTATCATGGAACAGTAGAAAAGAGTTGGCACATCGGAGGGCACTACCTTTGAATTGACTGACAAAATAGATGATTTTAGCTGCGTCTGTAGCATAAAGAGATGGAGCCCCTTCAAAGGCGAGTCTGCATTGGAGTAGGAAACCTCCACATTGGTCAGGGTCTCCTGCCAAGAGCTCAGAAGGATTAACAATTAAATGTTGAGCAGGGGAAGCCAGCCCAGGAGATTCACAAGTGGAATTGGGGATTGACTGGGTGGTAGCTGCTGGAGGAGAAGGAGGTAGGAGTTGTTGTTTAATAGAGAAGACCATACCGCTAAGTTCCTGCATGTTGGACTGAGCGGAGCGCTGTTGGGTCAGAACCTGCTGCAGCATTTCCTCCAATTTGTTGATCTGCTCCACCTGAGCCCTAATGAGGGCCTGCATGCTCCTGGTCTCATTTTGGCTCTTAGTTGGCTGGAGCATTTCTGTTACAACTTGAGAAATCCAGAGTAGTATGAGACCCAGAACGAGAGAGACACAGGTGGGTACAAAAGTAACAGTGCTTATTATTTACAGTGATAATAGACAGTTGTTTCTCTGCAGCTCCTGGAAAAGGAGGGAGATGGTCAGAGGAGGTCATCAGGTGAACAGGCAATATTAATGTGCTGATGTTTTCTCTCTTACAGATTTAAAAATGTCTTTGGGTCCAACTCCAAATCCTTGGGTGAGCTCCAGAGGGGGACAAGGCCAATGATCCCACAGAATGAGAAAGGCTGGCAGCTGGTGGTTGGCAAGGCACGAGGAGAAACGAGGCCAGGCACGAGGAGAACCAGGGCAGGACCAGGGGAACCAGGACCAAGGAGACAGGAACACTGGAGATAAGAAGAGATTGGTAAGTAGATTTACTTCATATAAACTTACAGGACGGAGGCACAAATACCATTAGATGGTCAATGCTCCAGCAAAGAGTAATCCTGGACTGCAGCCTTATGTAGTAGGTGATCCTCATCAGGTTGATGGCCAACAGCTGTTGACAATTAGCGATGGATGAGGAGCTGCAGGCAGTGGTACTCTTACACCCTGTCAAGTCCAGAATTTAATTAAAAATCTTACTTCTAACCTGCAAAGCCCTCAACAACCTAGCCCCATCTTATATTACAGATATTATTGTTCTATATTTTCCTAACAGAGCACTTTGCTCTTAAACTGCTGGCTTACTCATGTTTCCTAGAGTTTCCAAAAACAGAATGGAAGGAAGATCTTTCAGTTATCATGTTCCTATCTTGTGGAACCAACTTCCAGATTCTGTCTGTAAGGCTGACATAATGTTAAGACTGGTCTTAACGTTCCTTTTTGACAAATCCTAGAGTTAGGGTTGGTTCTAAACTGCTGGAAAGAATAGTTGAGTCTCAGTTGAAGTGCTTCTTGAAAGATCATGCCATCCCGCAGTTATTCCAGTCTGGCTTCAAAAATCTCCACAGCACTGAAACTGCTCTACTGAAGGTTTTTAATGACATTTTCCTACCCACTGATGCAGGTGATTCTGTGTTGCTTGTCCTATTGGACCTTACATCTGCCTTTGACACCATCAACCATGGGATCCTCATTTCTAGGCTAGAGCAGTGGGTGGGCATCACAGGGTCAAACCTCAAATGGTTTAGGTCCTAGCTCTCTGACAGAACCTTTTGTGTCAGAATCAAAGATTTCAGATCAGCATTGGCAGTGCTTAAGTGGGGGGTACCCCAGGGGTCCTTCCTCGGTCCCCTTCCTCGGTCCCCTTCCTTGGTCCCCTTCCTCGGTCCCCTTCCTCGGTCCCCTTCCTCGGTCTCCTTCTCTTTTCTTTATATCTGCTGCCACTAGGTGATATTTTCTGCAATCACAACATTCCCTTTCATTTTTACATCGATGACTGTCAAATTTACTTCCCCCTGAGGCACAGAGGCACACGCTCTATTTAACCTCTTCTTGACTGCCTGACTGACATCCGGGACTGAATGGCTTTGAACTTCTTAAGTTTCGACAAGAAGAAGTCTGAAGTCATCTTGTTCCATCCCAATGGCACATTCATGAACCACTGCATTGATCTTTTCTCTCTAGTTCTATTAGAGAAAAAAAGAGTCACTAATTTGGGAGTGATAATGGACCCCTCCTTGAAACTTAACAGTCACAAAAACAGGATTGTTAATCCTGTTTTTTTTTTTATTTTTTAGCTGAGGTGGCTGTCTAAGCTGAAGCCCATACTGTCCAAAAAGAATCTTGAGACATTGATCCATGCATTCATAGCATCCAGGCTCGATTACTACAATGTGCTTCTGTTTGGAATCAATAAGTCCTACATTGCACGTCTACAACTGGTCCAAAATGCTGCAGCCTCATTTTTAACTGGTACAGGCCATAGAGAGCACATTACACCAGTTTTGGCCTCCCTGCTCTGGCTACCCATTCACCTTTGGATCCAGTTCAAAATACTCATGTATGTTTTTAAATCATACATGAGTATGATACATGAGTCTAATCAATTTTTAAAGCCCCTCCATGGGCTGCCACCTTACCATGGTGGAGGGGTTTGAACGTCCCAATGAACCTAGGAGCTATGCTGTCAGGGGCTTTACGCCCCTAGTAGGGTCAACCATGGCAGACAGGTCCTAGGTGAGGGACCAGACAAAGTGCAACCCAAAAACCCCTTTGATGAGAAAAACAAACGGACCTAATGTTCCCTTGCCCGGACGTGGGTCACCGGGGCCCCACTCTGGAGCAAGGCCTGGAGGTGGGTCACGCGGGTGAGCGCCTGGTGGCCGGGCTTTTACCCATGGAGCTCGGCCGGGCACAGCACGAAGAGGAGACGTGGGTCCCCCTTCCCATGGGCTCACCACCTGTGGGAGGGGCCAAAGGGGTTGGGTGCAATGTGGGATGGGTGGTGGCCGAGGACGGGGACCATGGTGGTCTGATCCTTGGCTACATAAGCTGGCTATTGGGACGTGGAATGTCACCTCACTGGTGGGGAAGGAGCCTGAGCTGGTGTGTGAGGCTGAGAGGTTCCGGCTAGAAATAGTCAGACTCACCTCTACGCATGGCTCTGGCTCTGGAACCAGTTTCCTTGAGAGAGGCTGGATACTCTTCTACTCTGGAGTTGCCCCTGGTGAGAGGCGCCGAGCAGGAGTGGGCATACTTATTGCCCCCCAAATTGGTGCCTGTGTGTTGGGGTTCACCCCGATAAATGAGAGGGTGGCCTCCCTCCGCCTACGTGTGGGGGGATGGGTTCTGACTGTCGTTTGTGCATATGCACCAAATGGCAGTTCAGATTATCCACCCTTTCTGGAGTCCTTCGAGGGGGTACTGGAAAGTGCACCTCCTAGGGACTCCTTTGTTCTGCTAGGGGACTTCAATGCTCATGTGGGCAATGACAGTGAGACCTGGCGGGGTGTGGTTGGGAGGAACGGCCCCCCTGATCTGAAACCGAGTGGTGTTCTGTTGTTGGACTTCTGTGCTCGTCATGGATTGTCTATAACGAACACCATGTTCAAGCATAAGGGTGTCCATATGTGCTCTTGGCACCAGGACACCCTAGGCCGCAGTTCAATGATCGACTTTGTCATCGTCTCATCTGATCTGCGGCCGCATATCTTGGACACTCGGGTGAAGAGAGGGGCAGAGCTGTCCTATGATCACTACCTGGTGGTGAGTTGGCTCCGATGGTGGGGAAGGATGCCGGTCAGACCTGGCAGACCCAAATGTATTGTGAGGGTTTGCTGGGAACGTCTGGCAGAGTCTCCTGTGAGACGGAGTGTTAACTTCTACCTCCGAGAGAACTTCGAACATGTTCCGAGGGAGGTGGGGGACATTGAGTCCGAGTGGACCATGTTTTGTGCCTCTATTGTCAAGGCGGCTTACTTGAGCTGCGGCCGCAAGGTTGTCGGTGCCTGTCGCGGCAGAAACCCTCGAACGCGATGGTGGACACCGTCGGTGAGGGATGCTGTCAGGCTGAAGAAGGAGTTCTATTGGCCTTTTTGGCTGTGGGACCCCGGAAGCAGCTGATGGGTACCGGCAGTCCAGGTGACATGCAGCTCAGGTGGTCGCTGAGGCAAAAACTCTGGCATGGGAGGAGTTCAGAGAGGCCATGGAGAATACTTCTGCACGTCTTCGGGGCGATTCTGGTCCACCATCCGGCATCTCAGGGGGGGGAAGCGGTACGCCACCAACACTGTTTATAGTGGGAGCGGTGTGCTGCTGACCTCAACTCGGGATGTTGTGGGTCGGTGGGAGGAATACTTTCAAGACCTCCTCAATCCCACCGGCATGTCTTCCACTGAGGAAGCGGAGCCTGGGGACTCTGGGTCAGGCCCTCCAATCTCTGGTGCTGAGGTCACCGAGGTGGTTAAAAAGCTCATCGGTGGCAGAGCCCCAGGGGTGGATGAGATTCGCACGGAGTTCCTTAAGGCTCTGGATGTAATAGGGTTGTGTTGGCTTATGCGACTCTACAATATTTTGTGGACATCGGGGGCAGTTCCCCTGGATTGGCAGACCAGGGTTGTGGTCCCCCTATTCAAAAAGGGGGACCGTAGAGTGTGTTCCAACTATAGGGGAATCACGCTCTTAAGCCTCCCTGGTAAGGTCTACTCGGGGATTCTGGAGAGGAGGGTCCGTCGGATAGTCGAACCTCGGATTCAGCAGGAGCAGTGCGGTTTTCGTCCTGGCTATGGAACACTGGACCAGCTCTACACTCTCAGCAGGGTCCTGGAGGGTGCGTGGGAGTTTGCCCAACCGGTCTACATGTGCTTTGTGGACTTGGAGAAGGCGTTCGACCGCGTCCCTCGGGGAACCCTGAGGGGGTTAGGCGCAGCAAAGCAGTTGAGGGGATCTGTTTTGGTGGCCTTAGGATTGCGTCTCTGCTTTTTGCAGATGATGTGGTCTTATTGGCTTCATCAGATCATGATCTACAGCTTTCGCTGGAGTGGTTCGCAGCCAAATGCGACGCGGCCGGGATGAAGATCAGTTCCTCCAAATCTGAGGCCATTGTCTTGAGCCGGAAAAGGGTAGAGTGCCCTCTCCAGGTCAGGGAGGAGGTCCTACCCCAAGTGGAGGAGTTTAAGTATCTTGGGGTCTTGTTCACGAATGAGAGAAAAATGGAACGTGAGATTGATACGCAGATAGGTGCAGCATCAGCAGTGAAGCAGGTGCTTTACAGGTCTGTCGTGGTGAAGAGAGAGCTGAGTCATAAGGCGAAGCTCTCAATTTACCGATCGATCTACATTCCTACCCTTATCTATGGTCACGAGCTTTGGGATTTGACAGAAAAATGAGATCTCAGATACAAGCGGCCGAAATGAGTTTTCTCCGCAGGGTGTCTGGGCTCTCCCTTAGAGATATGGTGAGAAGCTCGATCATCTGGGAGAGACTCAGAGTAGAGCCCCTGCTTCTCCATGTCGAGAGGAGCCAGTTGAGGT